CTACAAGGGGAGACATGCAAAGCTGATTTACTACCTTTTTGTCATTAACCTGTGAGTTTGAAAGTACTTAGTTGCAGCAAATTTTCCTATAAAACTGCACAAAGCTAGAAGAAAGATTTCTCAATTAAAGCACAAAAAATCGATATCAAATCCTTAATATATTAATAAAGAAATGAAGACTATCGCTATTTTAATTTCATTCGCTTTACTGTCGATCTATGTTCTCAATATATCTGCGCTTCCGGCTCGTCATATCAAATATCCTCCTACCAAACCTCCTATTGACGATGGAAGTGATGACAATTCGTGCTGTTCATGTTGTAGCAAGTGTCTTTGCAAGCAGCGGGCAATTGATGTAATGTGTGCTTGTGCGCAGCCGGTGTATGATCTGTTAAGATATTGATATACATGTACATATTTCTGTTGAATATCTAATGTTTTTTTAGCAAATAAATATGAGATATTTTATACATGAATTTAAAAGTTAGTGAACCCGTGACAGTTGCAAAAGCAAAAACTGCTCACAGAATTCCTTGATATATACCACGCGACTTTACATACACGATCTCTGATGTTATTGTACTAGATAATGTTGTCATTCCACCTGCACCTATCGCTATGCCTGAAATAATACGACCAATAATAATCATGGCTATGTTTCGTGAAACACCACAAAACACTGAGCCTATGGTAAATGTTCCCAAAACAACTATAAATATATTTTTACGATCGAAAATGTCTGAAAGCTTTCCGAAGATTGGTGTTGTTGCTACACTAGTGATTAAATTAACGCTTCCTATCCAATTATTTGCGGATGATGACGATGCATTGAACTCTTTCGCTACTAACGTAAATATATTTTTATTTGACATTATTAATTGATCAGCAGCCAGAAATATTAAAAGTGTTAAAGAATATTAAAAGTCTTTTAATAACTGATGTTACATAAGTTGATTCATAAATATTACTATAATTCATTGGATTCTCTGACAAACTTTTATTTCTATCGAGATTGTGTTGGTTTCCTATCAATGTGAATTCGTTGTCGTCGGTTATTGCTACAATAGTCAATTTATTGTCGTCGGCTATTGCTGTATCATTATCTGGCTCTATTTTTATTTCTGTAGATTCTCTTACATTCACTACATAGTTACCACTAATTTCCACCCTAATATCTTGATCGACGCGTGATTGACTATCGAATGAATCAACGGTTCGCAAAAAATTTTCGTATGACATTTTTGTTTAAACATTAATTTTTTAGACGAACAGCTGATATCGATTTTTTTGTGTTTGTGCTTTTGCGCATTATAAATAATTTCTGAATTGGGACGCGTCTACTATATTTTTAAATTTGTAAAAATAAAATATTCATTGACTGATTCAGTAGGTATAAAATAGGAATCAGTGCATAAATCATTTATTAATGGATTGGATTTAGCCTTTTATACTAGTTTCAGTACATTTTATAAAATTTATAAAATGTTCAAAAATAAATAAATTTATGTGATTTTGACATTTAAGTATCAATAAACATTCCTTATATGTTAATATGATTTTTATTAACATTAATAATGTGCTTGACAAAGGAATTATAAATGTGCGATTTTTCAGTATTATAGATATACTAAATATAGTACATCATTAAAATTCATCATGTAACTCACACAAGAAAAAATTAAACTTATGACTTTGAAAAATAAAAAAATGGATCTTAGTTTACACATAAAAAAAATTATTCAATATAAACTGTTGTATAAGTAATATAAATATGATTAACCAGCAACCTGTACACATTCCCCATGTACTTGTATAACTGTAACAAGTAGTTGTACACATATGGTAATCTAGACATCAAAATTGAACATATTTTTCTTTGAGTCGTAAAATTGTAAAATCATCTTTAATAACAAGATGATGCTTAATACATTCAAAATTTAGCTTTTATTTTTTTTTAGTTTGATCAGTAACTGTTGTATTAGAATGGTATTTAAAGATTAATTTCACTAATTACTTCCAAAAATTCATGTGTTTCATTTTTTGCTTGCCAGAAACAATTCTACAATATAATTTTATTATTAAAAAAATTAATTTTATATGTAATTAGAATAACTTTGTCAGATGAAATCTGAAAATCTAAAAAATATATATATTAAAATATAACTTTTATATTAAATAAAAAATCTATATTTTTTATATTTTTACTATACATCTATTTTGTTAATAATTTATTGTTATTACATTTTTTTGATTATTATTATATATTAATAAGTTTAATTTGAATAAAGTTTAAATTAAGCAAATAAATTAATTACAAAATAATAAATAATATAAAAAATATAAGAAATAAATATTTAAATTTATCTTAAAAAACCAATAAAAAATAATAAAAAATAATTTTATATATTTGTAATTTTAATTTTATCTTTAATTAATATAAAATATTTTAGATAATAATAATAATTATAATCAGAAAAATTAGATCAAAATATATATAAAAAATTAATTGTAAATAAGCTAAATAAAATATTATTATATTAAAAAATATATATAATTCTAATTTGATTTTATTTATATTATAAAAAATTTAATTTTTTAATTATAAAAAATTACAAAATTTAAAAAACAAAAAAAATAAAAAAATTTGTTAATTAACTTTAAAAATAATATTATATAATTTACTAATTTAATTTAAATAAAAATAATTTATTAAAATTGATAAATTAACTAATAATATTATTATTTGATTAAAATTGTAAATTATAAATATTATTTTCCAAATTTATTAATAAATTTTTTAATTTTTTTTATATTTTTTAAAATAAATAAATAAATTTAAAACTATTAAAATAATTTTTTAAAAAACAAGTTATATGATAATATTTTGATAATATTAATTATATATATTTTTTTATTCTTATATTTAATAATTTATTATTAATATAAGTATACAAATAATATAATTATTTAATTAATTAATAATTTATTTGATTTCTATAAAAAGACAAAATTAATTTATTACAATCAATACAAAAAGTAATAGCGATTTTTTTTGCTAAAATTTATTAATATTATTATTATTTTAAGCTTTTGTTATATAAATATTTCAAAATAGTAATAGTGATTGTATTTATTTGAATTTATAACTGAATAGTATTTATGATAAAATAAAAATAATAAAAGTAAAACTAAACTAAACTAAAAAAAAACTTGATCAAAAACTATTTTTAACTTCAAAAATAAATTAAATTAATATAACTAAACTAAATAAACTTAAAACTGAACCAAAAAAAACTTAAATTAATCTAAAATCAAACTAAAAAAAAACTTAAACTTAAATTTAAACTTAGAAAACTTGAATTTTATTAATTATTAACACTTATATTTATATATATTATTATATTATAATAGTACTAT